TGTTATACGTATGTTTAAAAAAAAAAAATCATTTGATATACATGTATGGATTGAAGTTAGAGAACATATGTTATGGTTAAATGTTAATAAGGTATTTTGAAAAAATGTATGGATTATAGAATTGTGTGCTACACACATTTTGGAGGGAAAATATGAAACATCTATTTTTTTTAAGTGACATATTTTAAAGTATTGTACTATAATGTTACAGTTATACATTTATTAAGGGGATGAATTATTTGGTAAAAGGAAAATAATAAGGGTAAAAATATTTTTATGTGATACATAACAAAAGGTTTATCAAAGAATTTGTTTTCCCATTATAGAATCAAATTAAAGATATGTTCAGATCAATTATCTTAAGATCCAAAAACGCTTGAATGGATACGAAAGTGACGAGAATGTGTATAAATGGATTAAGATAAGGAAAATGATTAAGATTCGATAAAATCGATCATTTTGAGAGGGAAATGTTAGAAGCTTTCCTTAACCTAAATATCTAATATCTTCTTATTAACAGTACTAACATAAGTATGAATGAGTTGGATCTTAATAGAATAATTGAGTTATTATATTTATATTTGTTCTAGATTGGGAAAAGTAAGTGATTAGACTTCATAGTTTGTGAATTTATATATGAACATATATCTTGGGTTTCCTTTACATTCAAGCCACATATGGTAGCAATTGGTCTACCATCCTCCCCCATCTATGTAAGAGATAAAGTTACACTCAGACTTTGAGAGAAGTAGGCTGGAGGGTTTTGTTATATATATATACATCTGTTTCCAATTATCTTTGTGGGACTACAAGTATATCAGCCCATTTTGAGGAAAAGGTGGGGGCTGGATTGCTCATTTAAGAGTTGAAACAAAGACTTTTTATGCTCACATTGCTTGAAGCCTTGAGAGACACACACACACTACACACACATATACATATATACAATCTTATTATCAAGAACTTAACTATATTTTTTGGACATTATTTAACCATTCTGTATGCCAATATTTTATTTCTAATTTTATGCAACGTTATTATTAAATCATCTTTTTGAGTTTTATACAAGCAGTGGAAGGACTTTCTATCTAAACATTTCTCATCAATACAAGTTAATAAAATATCGAGACGATACGATATTTTACAAAGTCTAACATGTAAGGTTAGGTCTACAGGCTTGGAAAAATCAGTTTGTAAATAGATAGAAAACTGGCTAAAAAAGACCGTATTCAGTGAGTAGTGGTTAATGATTCATACTCTGAATGGTCTAGCTTGTTAGTGGGGTACCCCAAGGTTCCGTGTTGGGACCCTTACTTTTTAATACATTTATAAATGATATAGGGTCTGGGATTAAAAGTAACATTTCAGCGTTTGCAGATGACACCAAGTCCAACTTACAAGCCGACCTCAATGCACTGTTTTTAATTGGGCAACTATGTGGCAAATGAGGTTTAATGTTGATAAATGTAAGGTTCTGCACGTGGGGGTTAAAAATATGCATGTATCATACATACTAGGGGGAGTGCAGCTACGGGGATCAATGATGGAGAAGGATCTGGGTGTTCTGGTAGATCACAAGCTTATTAATAGCATGCAATGCCAAGCTGTGGTTTCCAAAGTGAGCAAAATCTTCTCTTGTATTAAAATAGGTAGGTATGGACTGCAAAGAGAGAGATATCATTTTGCCACGTAGAAATCATTAGTAAGAATACCTCATCTGGAATATGCAGTTCAGGTTTGGGCACCAATTCACAGAAAGGATATTGGGTAACTGGAGAAAGTAAAGAGAAGGGCAACCAAACTGATAAGAGGCATGGAGGAGATCAGCTATGAGGAAAGATTAGAGGAACTGAATTTATTTTCTCTTGGCAAGAGATTAAGGGGGGGATATGATCAACATGTATAAATACTGTATATAAATGGTCCATGTAGTGAACTCAGTGTAGAATTATTTACCTTAAGGTCATTACAGAAGACAATTGGGCACTCTTTACATTTGGAAGAAAAGAGATTTAAAGTGGTAGTAAACTAGTTTTTTTTATTTTATCTACAGGTAATCTTATAATAAAGTTTACCTGTAGGTAAAATGAATATCTCTTAAACATGCATCATTTAGAAGATACTCTCACATATTATTAGCACATTATAACATCACCTTACAGGGGACTTTTTGTTTTTCTTTCTGGCAGTTTACTACCGCTTTAATCTCCAAATATGGAAAGGTTTCTTCACAGTTAAAGCTATGAAAATGTGGAATAGACTCCCTCAAGAGTTGGTTCTGGCCAACTCAGTAGATTGCTTTAAAAAAGGCCTGGATTCTTCCCTAGATACACATAATATAACTGGATGCAAACATTTATATGTAAAGCTAATCCAGGAAATATCCAATTGCCTTTTGGGAGATCGGGAAGGAATTTTTTTTTCCCCTGCAGGAGCAAATTGAGTCATGCCTTGCTGAGTTTTTTTTTTGCTTTCCTCTGGATCAACTATATAGGTATAGGATAGAAATAAACTATTTATTTTCCGTTTATGGTTGAACTAGATGGACTTGTGTCAATTTTTCAGCCAGACTAACTATGCAACTATGTCCTGCAAAGAGACAGCCCCAACCAGCAAAGAGACATCCCCATCCAACAAAGACAGCCACTTCCAGCAAAGAGACATCCCTATATCCAGAAAAGAGACATCCCCATCCAGCAAAGACAGCCCCTTCCAGCAAACAGACATCCCAGTCCAGCAGAGACAGCCTATATCTATCAAAGGGACAGCCCCATATCCAGCAAAGGGACAGCCCCATATCCAGCAAAGAGTCAGCCCCATATCCAGCAAAGAGACAGCCCCATATCCAGCAAAGAGATATCCCCATATCCAGCAAAGAGACGGCCCCATCCAGTAAAGAAAAATCACCATCCAGCAAAGAGACATCCCCATACCAGCAAAGAGACATCCCCCATATCCAGCAAGCAGCATTAACAGACACAGCCCCATCCAGAAAAATGGTCAATTTAATAAAAAAGCTATGTATGACAACTTATCTTCACTGTTTTCTCCACAGCACAGCGATCACTGCACAGTCAGGACAGGCTATCCACACCGCATCTCCTCTAGACAGTTGCGGCTGTCACCACAAAGAGCATCTGGTCTGCATGGGGAGGTGTAGAGCAGATAATATCACTTCACTTTCCGCTCTCAGCCAGAACTATCTTAGTTGCATCAGCTTATGTGGCCAGCTCACTCTGCGGCCTCCCTGCTACAGCACTGGAAACTGCATCATGCCCTCAAAGTCTTAGGCGAAGGTGCCGGAATGGCTTTCCAGCATGTTCCACCAGACAAAAAGCCATATATATGTCAACCACACCCACATTACACTACAGTTCTGTATACACAGATTGTTCATGGAATGCCACCAGAAATGTCATTTTCTGTTTGAGAAATTGGCTAACTGGTTTTCCAAGAAGTCTGCAGTAAGATACATGTTACATTTTAGGCATATTCTGTAACAAAAAGTTCAGCTTTGCTGCTTTAAGGGTTAATCACTTCTAAAAGGAATGCTAACCCTGCCACTCTTCTCATTAGAGCATTACAAGTGTACCAGCTGATCAATAATGAAAAAGTCACTCCCATTCCGAATCAGTATCCAAAAGACATAGAAGAGCAAAGAGCTTTTTCTTCAGAGCAGAAACAGGTAGGAATCTGCAACAAAGTTGCAATATACGTTGATCACCCTGAGAGGATTTTTCTCAACAAAAGTGAGGTTATTCTTTAACCGCTTGACGCCGACATCACACAAATATGCGGCCTCACAGAACTGGGCTTTTTTCTGTGGGGCCGCATATTTGCGTACCTGTCTTTTTGCTGGGAGTATGGCGCTCCCAGCACGAAGACCGGGGTGTCACTGAGAACCCCGGGCCACCCCTATTCCACATGAGATTCACATGATTGCTGTGATAGCCTCTGATTAGCTATCACAGTGATCAGTCACTGTATAGCCCTCCCCCCTTGTTTTTTTTTCTCTATGAATGGAGGAGAGAGATACATTGCATCTCTCTAACTCCTGGTATAGAGGAAAAAAAAGCAATGTTTATTTATTTATCTTTTTTTTTTTTAACAAATATTAAAAAATAAAAGAAAAAATAAAGAAAAAATACCTAGATCAAGGTTTGATCTAGTTCAGTACCATGGTAAGTGTTTGGATCAAAGGTCAAGGTCAGGGTGAAAGGTCAGGATTTTTTTTTTAAATTGGTATCAGTTAGTGTCAGTGTGTTTAAGGTAAAAAAAACAAAATGTGCACTATTGTTTCTGGGCTGTACTATGGGTACAAACAACAAATAACATACACATATATGGTATCGTTGCGATCGTCAAGAGCTGGAACATTTATTTTGGGTTGTTCTTTGGTGCTAGGTTATGGTAGTAACAAGAAACACACAGCTAAATTTAAAAACATGATTTTCTTTTTTTTTACTATTTTGGGCCACTTTTCCTTTGATAATAAAAAAAAAACAGGAGATATCCATTACCATTTACCACCAAATGAAAGCCCAATTTGTCCTGAAAAAAATGCGGTATAATCCACCTGGATGTACAAAGTAGTTGTGATGATATGCAGAGTTTTACTAACACATGTCAACGTTCCAAAATTGTGCTTAGGCAATATGATTTGTGTTACCCTTAGGAGTGAAGGGGTTAAACACTATTGTTAGCCCTGAGCAGGGCAAGCAGTGTAAACCACAATTTTAGTTTTTTTAACAATAGAAAGGTGCCACTTTCAGAGGACAGAATCTGGATTGGGGATTTAGAAATTCACTTATTGTATCTTCTATGGCAAAACTTGTTAACAGCAAAAAAAGTACAGGACTAAAAAGAAGTAAATGTCCAGTACCAAATAGTAATGTCACCTACTACATTTGTACATAAAATTCGAATCCAAATCTAAAGGCACCGTAATATCAAGCAGCACCTAATCACAAGAATAAATTTGGAAGCCAAATTTAACTTACCAAGCATGAAACATCATCTAGACTTGAAAATTCATTGAAACTTATGATGAGCTTTTTAAGCCCACGTAGTTTTGAAATCTCTTTCAGTTTGCTTAAACTGTTACCATGCAAGTTCAAGACCTGTTTAGGGAAAAATGCATGAATTTACCATCAAATAATTAAACAAGAGTTTCTTTGCTAAAAAAAAAAAGAACAATGAACCTAAAACAGAATAACACTGAAAGCCAAAAGAAAATCAACATACATATCAATGCCCGATAATATATCTTTAGGAATGAAATGTTGGTTGATAGCCTGAAGGGTACCTGCAGACTGCCCACTCAGATGTCTTTCCCAATGTACTGTGACACTTCCCATTTCAGCCCTTATAGGTCACTTTAGATAAACTATATTATGGCTAAGGGCATAGTATACACTATCCAAAGAAGCTTGACTTTAGTACAACATCGTGCTTTTTCTCTCCAGAGACCTCACTCCATCTTCCATGACATACAGGCTGGGTCCCTAGGATGCCTGTGCCAAGAGAAGGAGCCTAAGCACACAAGCAATATAGCCTCCTCCAAAATAGCTTCACTCAGCCTTGGATATTTATACTGTATCTACTCTAACTCGTCTTGCCCCCTAATGGGCCCTGTTCCTGAGATATGCCATGTATTCATGCACCCCTTTAAAATTGTCCTGAAGTAACTTCAGACCAGGCAAAGTTAAAGTGGTTGTAAACCTAGGACAAGAAATATGAACAAAGCTTATTCTGTACTTGTCTCAATTAAGAGCACTAAGTTTTATTTCTCTCTGCAGCTTTGTTCTTCTGCTGTCAGCATAAATCACTTCTGTCAATTTTTCCTGGCACCAAGGGAAAAAAAGATGACAGGGGAGGAAGGTCCAGCAGAATTACAGCCTTAGCTCTGTTCTTGTGTACTGTGTCACTTCCCTCCAATCTATTCTATTCTATTTTTAAAATTCTATTCTACTCATCAAAAATGCAATGCACAGCAGCAAAAATTTTATTTTATTTCACTTTTATACCTTACTGTATTTCTTGCAATATGTTTCCAGTTCAAATTTGTTTTTTTATTATTTTCACATTAATTTTCAAACTAATTTTTGAATTCGAATTAAAATCTTTTAAATTCATATTCATTTTCAAAATCGAATTTGGATAATTTGTTATTTATTATTCATTATTCTATTTTATTCTAAGTAGGAATTATCATCTTATTTCACTTTTATACCTTATTGTATTTATTACAATATGTTTCCATTTCGAATTCAAATTCATTTTCAAATTCATATTTGGATAATTTATTACTTCATTACCTTATTTAATTTTGTTATAATTTATTTCAGATTCGTTACTTTCGGAATTCAGAAATTCGGATACATCCAAACTTCCGAATAACAAAAATTTTGTCCGAATTTTGATTTGAAACTAAATGAATCTCACATGTCTAATAAACATTCTTTTACTGACGTTGTTTCAATATAACAAATTAACAGGAAAACAAAGATGTCTTCAATACACATGCTTGTACACAATCTAAGTGCCCCCTAGTTATTCTCCTGGTGCTACTTTTCCCATGAGGTAGTCATACCTTGAATATGTAGGAAAGTCCTTTCAGTCCTTGAGTCAAAAGCTTGAGTGCATATCCCTGAAACCCTGACTGGGCTCCAACAGGGGGTTGTTAAGTGCAAAATAGTGGATCACATCCTTAGCAGCATGTTCTTCCCTAGATGGGGAGACCTGGAACTGAACCTCTGGCCATTTTACTAATTGTAATGCCCTTCACCCCGGAAGCGTTTGCCCCAGCAGAGTGCAGCAATTCCCCAAAAAGCTCAGGAAAACCCGGCTAGCAGAGTTAACCCTTACCTCCCAGGGAGTACTACCCCAACAAAGCAAATACAACTAAACAGTGCTACAGGGTTATTCTAATTCTAACCATGAATACATCAACTAGAAAACAGTAGAACATTTTTATCCAACATAAAACATTTAACATCCACCTGCTTACACGCATAACACATATGTATGACAGGAAAGGGGCTCAGTGCGAATTCCCAGCACAGAGAACGAGCTGTCGAGGACAGCTGTCGGTGTCCACTAATAATCTGTAGCTGGACTGACCCCTTGATTATTCTAGCATATTATTCCCAACGCACATGTTCTTGTAGAAATGGTTGTATATGTAGGCAGGTGCTGCAGCAACTATAGGCTGGAACCGAAGACAATCAGAGAGAAGAAATGTCACCAGCACACCACAGATCTCCAAAATTGCTCCAAAGCTTTGGTCAGAGATCACATCATTACAGCAGAAGCCTCGTCTTCACTGTCACATGCCTGCTGAAGGGTTCTTGCAAGGCTCCTCCTACCGAAAGGTTGCCACTGCTGTAACAATGTGATCGCTGATTAAAGCTTTGGAACCATTTTGGAGATCTGTGTGGTGTGCTGGTGACGTTTCTTCACTGACTCTGATCATATGACTACATTGAAAGCCAATCACAATGGTTACATGATTGCCGATCCTTCCTGCTTTGGGGTATTCAGAACATTTGAAAGGGATCCCTGGGCAGAAGGGAAGGGGTTAAAGCCAAACGTTTTACTTATATAACGTGTTATAAAATTTTATTCTATAGGGATACATTTGAAAATAAAGTTACAATGCTCAAAAAAACTCAATCTCTTAAATTTCCCCAAAACAGAAAGCATGCCTAAAAGTAATAATAATGAAAATATAGCCTGACACATTGGAAAATATATTCTGACTGCCCTTCTGTGTGAACCTTTATGAAATGAGGAGGATACAGAGTTAGATATAGCATGAAAGCAAATTTTCTGTGTAACCAAACACACAGCTAGGGCCTGCTGAAAGAAGTAAGAAGCAAACAATTATATTTCTTTAGCAGGGTATTTATAGACATTAACCACAACTTTCTAACCTTGGAGAGGAGGGTTAGATGTCCAGAACTACAACCAAACAGGGTTGTGGCATCAAACAAGTAGAGGATCTTCAGTCCTCTTTATCTTTTACAAATCAACCAAAGCTAAGCTGCTTGAATACTTTTATTCATTGAGACTTCAAGTACACCTTTTTTGCAACATGTGGCAGGGAGCAATTGCCTAGTGTCCAAGTGTTACAGTATAGCTAAAGAGATCCTCACTTTGACAGTTGTCACTGGAACAGGCGACATCATTGAAGTATTTCCCTCCTTTCCTGTTCTTGTGACAACTCAAAATTGTGGATTCCAACAAAGGTTCTAACCCTTCCCTACTCTATCCAAAGTTAACAAAAGGTTTGCAGTTCTTTGATCTGCTGTGTATATATGTGTGTATGTGACCTTAATGCTTCCCTTCATGGATATTCCACAAAATTAATTGTTTTATAATTACCCAAAACTGTATGATGGTGGCTCAGCATTTAAGATTTGCAATACTTACTGATATTTGACTGTAAGTACTGACTTTTGCTACAGAAAGGATAGTATTTTCATCTAAACTAATTATTTTGGGCCTTGGTTTGACAGTTGGCTCCATGGAAAGAATGTGTTCATCCAGTTTAATTTCAGGTGCACTTTCATGAAGACTAGAAGCTGGGGCCTCTACCTGGAAACAAACAGAGAAAACTTATTTAACATACATAGGAAATACATATGGAAATTACTTGTTCTGAAGGATACTTCTGAAAATGGAGAATTCAGCCTGGGAGTAATTTGGTATCATAACCTATGTGTTTGAAGACCTACACCAACACTGTTCACAAGGTTTTCCTTTACCACCATTACAATCAAGGTTTGGTAAAAAAGAGAATATAGCTTACATAACGTGCATTTATGACTGCTAACATGCCTTAAACATCTGTGTGTAAATTGTATTAACTTACTTTATTCAAAGAGTTACTTCACTATAAACAGGTGGTATCAGATGAACAGATGTGGAAACGTGATTAAAAGAAGACTGCCATAGTTTATGTACATATTACACCAAAATAGAAATTTGTAATCAAAAAGCTTAGGTTCCCTGCTGTTTGGAAGCCTCTAGATCTGTCTAGTTGGGGGGGGGGGGGGGGTCAGACTGCTGCAGAGAGCCCGCTGCATCCACACAGATAGCAAGGGTCTTTATCTGCAGCATGCTTACAGAGAACAGGCTTTTATACTCAGAATGTGGCTGCTTTCTAAAGATAACTGTAAGACTTTGTGCACCGTTTGTTTGATACATTTGGAATATAGTTCACTTGTTAAGGGCTTGTTCACACTTGTGTGGAAATTAGCATTATTTTTCACTGCAAAGCAACTGTTTTTTGTTTGCCTTGTTCACACTAGAACAGGGGTAGCATCTGCTGAGATTTGCTGCCTGCAACATGTCTTTTTTTTTTTTTTTTTTGTTAAAGCGAAATTAATTTCGTAAATACACTGAAGTACAATTTCTGCATGTACATGATAAATACCTAATAACGGGTACAGCGAGCGCTCAAATCAGAATAAATACCATGAAAAAATTATTACAAGGTAATGACGATAATCATTAAAACAGCTGCATATGCACTAACATAGTAACCCTAAAAACCCAGTAAAAACCAATCAATAAAAAAGTGCAGCACTGGATAAATAGTTATCACCATTAAATGAATAGTATCACTAATACAGTAGAAAATTATTAAAAAGTGAATGTTGCGCATCAGCAGGCACAAAATAGGAATGTGATAGGATTAAAAAGTCTGAAATTCAAATAAGTGTTCAAAATAGTGCAGGCTTGACATGATCAGGTCAGCAGATAGGTGTTTCCTTCATATATAATCAATAGTGACTTCTAGTGAAAATCCGTGCGATCCAATCTGTGTGATATATACAGTATATATAAAATGCGCACTCACCAGATGCACATTAAGTATGCACATTAAGCAGAATAAGACACTGTAGGGAGCCCCTTTAGGTAGATCTGTCAGCCAGCCTGGAACAAGGATCCCTCCTCTGGACACAAGCTTCCTCTGCAGCCACGCTTCCTCTAGGGGTCTCTGTGAGCTTAGCACAGATTAGAGCCAATGATAAAGAATTCCTCATAGTGTAGTAATATATAAAATGCCAATTTATTAGTAGAAATGTTCACCCAGCCAGATAATAATAAAACCGTTGCGTTTAGCAACTAAAAATTGCAAATACAATAGAACTTCCTATTAATCAAAGCCATGTGGCTGAGCAGCCACTCTCCAAAATGGCCGCCGGACCTTCGTACGGCTCCGGCAGTGTGACGTCACCCCTTTTGATAAAGCGCTTGGCACAAAATGCGTCAAGGAGGATCCATACGTTGTGACGTCATGCCGCCGGACCTTCGTACGTCGCCGGCGGCGTGACGTCACAACGTATGGATCCTCATTTTGCAGAAGCTTGTGTCCAGAGGAGGGAACTATAAACCATATTTGGAGAACTAGGCTGTTCTCCAAATATGGTATATAGTGCAGTGAATGAGCACTGTCACTGCTAGGATGTCAAATGTAATACTGGCAGAATGGCCAGTCTGAAAAAAAATGAAAACAAATGCAGCCACTACATCTGCAATATGTATAAAAAATGTTTTTTAAGTTTAGATATGCCTTAAGCAGATAATGCATTTTATTGCCATATCCCCCCATGAAATAGATGGGAAGTAGGGAAGTGTTTTCTCAGTTCCTTTTCTGTCCAACACCCCTCATATAAACAGGAAATAAGGAGAAATTATCCAAACAAGACATTAACAATAATGACAGCTGACAGAGGTTCTAACTCTTCCAGATTATCTAAAACATAAAAAAAATAAAAATATTTGGTCAGAATTGGGCTTTAAGCTTGCTGCAGTAACTTTTAATTTTGCTTTTAAGGGGACAGGTTTGTGTGATTAAGTAGTCAGTTCGGGAAAGTTATAGCAATGGCCTCTCATCGATCTAAAGACGAACAGCAGATCAAAATCTGCAATTAATTTTTTCTAAACCCCAATATAAACTCCCCTGTATACATTTTTTCTTTTCAGCAAAAGTTGGGTTACATGTTGATTGTGTTAATATACCACTGCCTAGTCAATATCTAGAGAACACTGTAATGATGCAGAAGAGTAATAAGAACATGGTACCAGAGGAATATAGTCAAACTCAACAATGTACTCTGGCACGATGAGTTCAGGATCAAACACAAACCAGTCACACCGGTGTAGGCTGCAGTCACAGCTCCCATGCTCCTCAGAAGAACGTGTTTCTGCAAAAAGAGAAGACAGTCAGAATTTCCAGTATCGTAGAATAAATATGCTTAAAAAAAGATCATTACATAAAATAATATAAGCTGTATTTACACAGAGGATTTCAACAGTGCATCAATCAGCAGTTTACTATCTAGGAAAATGAGGTTTCTAGTTTAAGGGTTAAAAGTTAAAGGGTAACTCCACTTTCATAGAAAAAAATAGCAAATAAAAAAAAAAAATATAGCAGCACTGTGATTTTCTGTAAAATGCACAGAAATATGACAACCTGGAAGCGTTCTGGAGTACACAACACCCCTAGGAAATATAATTTCCTGTTTGTGTTATTGGCTTACTAATTTTCCCAGAATTCTGCACCAAGATAGAAATTGGATGTTGGACATCCTGTGAAAAAAAAAATAAATAAATACTTACCGTAATTTTCCTTTCCTGGTGAACTCCATGGCAGCACATGTATGGGTAGCTCCCCTCTCGCTCCTACCCCATAGGTCCCCACTCCCATAAATTGTGAGACTAAGCCATATGCCTCATTCTGTAATTAGCCTACTCATGCCATTGGGAGGTGAATCATGCTGCAATGGAGCCCATCAGAAAAGAAAGATTACAGTAAGTTTTTGGTAGGAAATTTTTAGCTTTCCTGACAGACTCCATGGCAGCATATATATGAGAATTAAGTAGCCATACAGGGACACGGGAGGGAGTGACAAACAAGAGAAAATTTGAAATTAAACCATTAGCAGACAACACCTTCAGGACAAAATTAACAGAAGATAGAGAAGCAGGCGTCACACAATAGTTTTTCATAAAGGTATAAATAGAAGACCCAGAAGCAGCTTTACAGATTACTTCAGGAGCCAGGTGATGAGAAGCTGCTCAAGATGTTGACAAACTTTTGATTCAGTGCATACTCACTGCCTCCAGAAGAGCCAAGCACTTTGCTCTATAAGCATGTTGGATGGCTTGCACGATCCATGGTTTCCCTCTGTTCTTCCCAGAGAAAAGCAAGAACAGGCGATCTAAGAGCCTAAATGAGGCTGGGCTGTAGCCTGCAGGTAGGCTTTCAACATTTCCTCCACATCCAGTGGATGCGTATTATCGCTCTAAGCCACTTTGAAGGTTGGCAGGGTAAGTTCATGATTTTCATAAAAAACCAATGTCACCTTCGGATTTGAGTCCAGCATGGGTATCAGGACCACCTGATCTGGGAAAAAGGCTCTTTATGCCCCGATCTCTTGCTCTGCTTTCTGGACTGGGACCTCTTCTGGCTTAGCAAGGGTCAGCCCTCAAAACCCTGACTTACTGCCCGTTACCAAGGCTATAGCGCTACCCAACTTATTACCAAAAAGTGAAGACCCCTCAAAACTGATCTTACACCAAGCCTGCTTAGTGGTGGGATCAGCAAGCCAAGGACACAGCCACAATGCACGCTTGGACGTAACAGACCAGAGAATAACCTAGCCTGGAAAGGCCTGCTGCGTAGCTGATAGATGGAACAGCAGATGGACGTGAGTGGGGCCTCATGTCTAAGTTTTGCCTAAGGCCTCAAAGTCTAAAGCCTCCTCTGTGCTCCAGCCGCCATGAGAGGCTACAAATCACTAGCGCTAGGGAAAAGAAAAAATATGGATCAAAAAAAAGAACTGCACTCACACAACCCTAGTCCAGAGGCAAGGAAAGCAGCTGCAGTATTCACACTGGGCACTTCTACAGCAAACCCCTGATAGAAGGGTGTCTGCCCGATGGCAGGACCCCCCTCTCTCAGCATCGATCCTCTGCGTACATGTGCCCACCATGACCCCAGTGATACCTGGAGGCCACAGTGACTAATCGAGTCATCCTGGTAAAAGTGGCACTCTCCTGGACATTGCAGGACACACCACGCACTTGTACAGCTGTCCCACACAACACCCTGAAAGTTGACGCCTTCTAAAAAGTAGAGAAAAACTTAAAACGTACTGGGTCCTATGAGGAGGACAAAAAAGTGTCCTACAAAAAGGTAGAAGCAAGGGCAGAGCCACCCATACGTATGCTGCCACAGAGCATTAGAACCATGGAAGTGCAGCAACTGACTGTTAAATAATAAAGACACTCCCATTTACATTCACTTTGCACATGGACACAGACATACAAACAGCTATTTCTTCAGAAAAACTAAACATAAGAATCTGCAAGAAAGTAATTTTCTTGGTAATTTTGTATGCCTGGTTCCTTGGTTCCCCTCTGTATGCTATGTTTGTTTGGTTGCTTCCTCCATCCCCTATATCACTGTAGTACACAGTAGGGATGTGAGTGCAGGTGGAAAGAACCAAAGAGTGAAACACAGGGCTAGGGCTCTGACACATCCGAAGCTCTTTGGGAGATTATGTAATTGCATAACCTTACGAATATAGGTATTTGTACATAGTAACATACCATTGTATGAAGGATATACACAATTCCTCTTAAATTTCAATGGCCTGAATACAGAATTGGCGTCAGGATAAATATCTGGGTTCATGGCAATATTTTCTTTGGCTTGAACACTACGGCCCAGGAAAACTTTAACAATGATCAATTTACCTAAAATTACAAAAACAAAAAACATCAAAATACTATGAAACAGACAAATGTACATTTTCCTACTTTGCTATTAAGTAATAAAAACAAACTTAACTCGTCACTGTCACAATACACCGATCAGTGGCTGCATCTGATTGTCTCCAGCTGCTGACCAATGGAAAATGTTCTAGCATGTCCCTTTGGCAGAAGTTGATTAAAAAGTCAACTTCAGTTGAGAGGGGGAACCTCAATTTACATTTTTGCCGATCCCTGCTGGGTGGGCTGAATTTCAATCAGTGTATGGCCTTGTATTAGATACTGTAAGACAAGAGAATTTCCCCCACCCCTTCTGACAGCCTCTTATATTCTCTCATGATAGTTTACATTTAAAGGTTTATTTTTAGTTACAAAACTGCATTAATTTGTATATTATATTATATTTGCCTGCAGTTTAGGTTTTAAATCAAACGAATGTATCATTACCTGTATGACTGGCATAGGAAACTGCTGCTTCTGTGTTCAGTCAACCACACACAGAAAGCATATTGCTGCTGATCACACCACAGTAATTTTTTCATGATAATTTTAGTGTCAGAGTAATGCTACAGGCATAAATGAATGAAAAAATTGGGAATGACAGCGAGTATCCCGTTTCAAGGAAAATATATATAAAAGTGTTATTTTATCGGTTTAAATAAGCTCACTGAACCATGTCCTTGTGTGGAAATACCCAACACATTTCGCCATGATTCCCAAAGCAGTTCTGCAGAATGTGGTACATTCAATGCTTGTTACGCTAAATTGCTACAAACATAGAACAAGACCCAACTGTCATCTGTAATTTATTATATTGTCTACATTGCACTGTAATTAGGTTACCATGTTTAAAATGCTCTGGATCATAATTTGTCTCCACGGTTCTTGCTTGCCCCGATGTGAAAGTCTCACAAAATCCCAAACTGTTGGAAAGATGAATGCCTTGTTCTTGTTCATGCGGCTGTGACAAACACAACATGACATGTTAAGGACCAAAACAATTGTACACAAAGCAAAGAAGCTTAAAGGGTAACCCCACTTTCATTAAAAAGATCATATAACATATGTGCAATGGCAAGAAGGGCCAATTTGTAATTAAAGTGTATGTCTAGCCAAAACCTTTTTATTTTTAGTTTTTGGGTAGAGTGGGGAAGGTCAAAATAACCCAGTCAGCTTTATATTGCCAACAGGGGCTCAGATTGAACCTCACTTCCTTTCCTGCTGATTTTTTTTTTTTACTAGACTGGAAGTGCAAGGAACTCTTTAACATCAACACAGACAGAAGTAAAATATCTTTTTTTTATTAGAGTAGGCGAAGTCTAGATCCCCTGCTTAAGTTTCTGTCTGCCTGTGTGTGGGGAAAGCATTGCCATCAGGATACGAAATGAGGGGAAATCTCTCCAGCTGAGCCCGGGTAGCAGTAAACACACAACTGGAGTTCTAATCCTTCCATACGCCATCACAAACTATAAAAAGTTTTTAGCTTAACACACGCTTTAACGTTCATCTTCACTTGGTAATCCACACCCAGCTATGATGTTCTAAAACAGCTAAAAAGTTCAAAATGTTTTTTCTAACCAGGGTAACTGTCATTCTTTACATTGGGTGTATACAGAACCCTCTAACAGAATAGAATGTCCTGCCCATATATAGTTACATAGTTAGTCTGGCTGAAAAAAGACCATCCAGTTCAACCATTAAAAAAAAAAAAATTTTAAAACTATACCCACAGTTGATCCAGAGGAAGGCAAAAAAAACCCAGCAAAGCATGATCCAATTTGCTCCTGCAGGGAAAAAAATTCCTTCCTGGTCATCCCTAGACCATTCAGAGTATGAATCATTAACCACTACTCTTTGAATACGATCTTTTAGCCAGTTTTCTATCCATTTACATACATATTTTTCCAAGCCCGTAGACTTTACCTTACACATTGGCTGTGTGTGGGGAACTGTGTCAAACGCTTTTGCAAAATCAAAGTATACTATATAATTGGATTAGTACATTTTCAGGCAGTTTTTCCTAACACTGGAGCAGATAATGTGACTATCATGGCCAGACCTCACCACTCATTAATCAGGAAGAAAGAAGTGGATGAACTATACACGTGAGGTTCGGACAGCAGAGGTTCAGAGACTATACTGACGTTTGCTGGAATCCTTCCAACATATACTGTACAACACATATCAACAGGGTTGTTTTTTCCTCAACAAAAGAATTCTGGTCCATTGACAATGCAGGATAATGAATTAAAATGAGCAGATGTTGTAAGATGATCCTGTGGTAACTTCAATATTATAAAAATACATAAAAAAAAAACGCAACAGGGAAAATATGCAGTTCCAAGAACTCAAACATAGATATCTCACCAATGGCATCCTAAAGAGATATAATAAATTGTCATGTGGTTTAGCTCTTCAGATTCTACCATAAACTGAAATATTGGTTTTGGTTGGACTGACACTTTAATAGTGAGTAACATATAAAACAAACCAAAATAGTAAGGTTCTTTACCTACTGCATTAAGTTGGTCAGGTTCAATATTTTTCAAATACTAATCAATCAGAAAACATATTTATGAGGAACATCTTGTCCATCTTACACAATTCTATTGATTGCAAGATCATTCAATACCTTAAATGTTTTAATGAAATTAAAGCCATCCTCAAGAATGTGCAAAAGATCTTTCTTTGCAAAACTAGGGTCAAATGTGTAAAAAAGATATTCCAGCATCTTCTTGTAGTTTCTAGAAAATAGAAAATATAAGCAAAAATTTAAGCCCTGACAGCACAGTCAACGGCATTACTTTTTTGATGACTTCAGTCCTGACATTTGTGTGTTACATATGCTTTTGGCTCTCTCAATTGATTTATTAGAACGCTCAAAGACAACTAATCCTAATAGCCCACTGCACAAAGAAATATTCAAAAAAACATATCCTAGATATTCTAAGTAAGCTTGAGTTTTATTTTGGCCTAGACTTATTATTATTATTATACAGGATTTATATAGCGGCAACAGTTTGCACAGCACTTTACAATGCGAGGGCAGACAGTACAATTACAATACATTTTAATACAGTAGGAACAGAGGGCCCTGCATGGGGGATGATCTGATGGAGAAAATAAAGTACAAATATTAGGTGGGGGCAAGAAAGACTTGTCTGAAAAGATGATGGGGTTTCAAGGATCGTCTAAACATAGACAGAGTAGGAGGCAGTCAGACAGATTAGGGTAGGGAATTCCATAGGATGGGAGAGACTCAGGAGATGTCTTGGAGGCGAGCATGGGAGGAAGAGACAAGGGAGCTAGAGAGCAGGGGGTCTTAGAAGGAACGAAGAGAGCAATTTGGTTGGTATTATGAGACTAGGGTAGTGATGTGGCTGGGGGCTGAATTGTGGATGGCTTAGTAAGCTGTTGTTAGGATTTTTAATTTACTTCTTTGGGAGGGATTGGCAGAGATAAGTAGCAGACGCTGAATGGTTGGTAAGGTGGATGAGTCTAGCAGCAGCATTCATGATGGACTGAAGAGGGGATAGTCTACAGTCAGGTCCATAAATATTGGGACATCGACACAATTCTAACATTTTTGGCTCTATACACCACCACAATGGATTTGAAATGAAACGAACAAGATGTGCTTTAACTGCAGACTGTCAGCTTTAAATTGGAGGGTATTATTTACATCCAAATCAGGTCAGGTGATTGACTTGGCCATTGCATAACATTCCATTTCTTTCCCTTAAACGCTTTGGTTGCTTTTGCAGTATGCTTTGGGTCATTGTCCATCTGCACTGTGAAGCGGCGTCCAATGAGTCGTGAAGCATTTGGCTGAATATGAGCAGATAATATTGCCTGAAACACTTCAGAATTCATCCTGCTGCTTTTGTCAGCAGTCACATCATCAATAAATACAAGAGAACAAGTTCCATTGGCAGCCATACATGCCCACGCCATGACACTACCACCACCATGCTTCACTGATGAGGTGGTATGCTTAGGATCATTTATGGACCTGACTGTATATAAAGGTAATCAAATGAGGAGGTACAAGTAGAAATAAATCCTGCGCTGCCACTAGTGATTAAATTAGCCTCCCATTCGTGATGGTGACCCACAATAGAATGTGAGCTCTATATTACATGATATAGACATATAACCTTTAAAAGTGCCCCTCCGTGTATCCCTGTAGCGGGGAAAAAAAAAATTACATTCCTATATAACAAGCTTACTTAATCCAATGCTAATTACCTGTGCTATATTAGTGAGAAAATGTGCATTTTATGTACCAATCAAAAACACCAATGTACCCAAATTAAATCAAAACATAATAATGTAAATATACATAAATAAACTGCACTTAATGCAAATCTGAAAAAGTCCCAGTGCACCACTTTCCACATTTAAATATTTAAAGTTCCAATGTGAAAGCACTTTCTACATCCACACATGTGAAACAAGATGATTCAGTGATCAATCTTCTTATCTATAAAGATCTTTGTGTTAAGTGGTCCACTTGGAGCTCCCCCTCCAGAGCCCCACTCACCCCAAGATGTTGACCACCTGCATAGGTAGGTAAAAAGACGCATGTATTTATGTATATTTACAGTATTATGTTTTGATTTAATTTGGGTACATTGGTGTTTTTGATTGGTACATCAAATGCATATTTTCTCACTAATATAGCACAAGTAATTAGCATTCGATTAAGCAAGCATGTTTTATAGGAATCTAATTTTTCCCCCACTATAGGGACAAACGGAGGGGCACTTTTTAAGGTTATATGTCTATATGATGTAATATAGAGGTCACATTCTATTGTGGGTCACCATCACGAATGGGTGGCTAATTTAATCACTAGTGGCAGCGCAGCATTTATTTATACTTGTATTCACACATTTGTTTGTATATACACGTGGTATTGCTAGCAACAGCCAATTTCTCCATACATTCATTTCCAGTCCACGGCGCAGGCTCCATTTATACATGAGGAGGGAGAAGGTGTAGATCGAGTATAGGAAAGAGGTCCAAGAACAAAACTTTGTGGGACCCCGATGGAGAAAGGAAAAGGAGAGGAGGAAGTGAGATTGTAATTGATGCTGAAGGTGCAGTGAGATAGGTAGGAATAGAACTAGTGAGGAGTACAGTCATAGAAACCAACGGAGTGGAGTTTTCTGAGAAAGAGGGGGTGATCCACTGTGTCAATGCAGAGAGGTCCAGGAGTAGCAGTACAGAATAGTGTCCTATGGTTTTAGCTGTTGGTAGATTGTTTGAGTTTTAGGAAAACAGTTTCTGTGAGGTGTTGAGAGCAAAGTGCAGACTGAAAAGGATGAAGAAGGTTATTTTCACTAAGATGGTCACGCAGTCAGTTGTAGACTAGGTGCTCAAGGATTTTGAAGGCTACAGCGTGGTTGTTCAGTTCTGGGAGGGCGTCATAGGATGTCCTCCCAGAACACGCCCCCCCATGCACCCCTAGCGCTGTCAGTAATTGCTGTGTCCTACAGACATAGCTGATCAAATGACATGGTAAAAGGCCAATCACAGCGGCCTTTTACCATGTGATCAGCGGTGTCCAATGACTGGCAAATGTTACAGAGGACACTTGCACTGATCACTAGGGTACTGATGATCAGTGGCGCCCAACAGTGCTGCCCATCAGTGCCACTCCTGTAGACATGGAGTGACAAGGGTGAGATGTCTGTACAGCGGAAATCTTATCACAAATTGTTTCGATCTTATTTTTTAAGTGATTGGTGATCTCCTAGTCAGTGATTGAGATAGTGGGTGGAGGCAGTGGAGGAAGAAGTAAACAGATGAAGGTAGAGAAGAGTTGATGGGGACTGGATGAGGTGTTAACGGGAGTGGTAAAATAGATCTGCTTGGCAGCGTGGAGGCAGGAGTAATATTTTTGAAGGGCAGATCTATATTGGTTGAAAGTGAGCGGGTAATTGTGTCTAGGATGGATGACAGTGATCTATTATAGACAGAAGTGGCTAGACTGCGGCAGGACAGTGGTGAGATTTTGTCAACGAGCTGGTCAGTAGCAGAGTAGAGGCGATTGGAGGTAGAAGACAAGGAAAGAGCGAAGCTAATAAGATAGTGATCAGAGAGAGGGAAAGAACTGTTGGAGAAGCTGCATGGAGTGCATAGGTAGGAGAATACAAGGTCCAGGGTGTTACCGTAAGCGTGAAGAGAAGCATATACCCATTGCTTCAGGTGAAAAGAGGAGGTTAGACTGAGAAATTTAGAAGTAGCAGGAGTGTTAACATTAACATGGAAATCAAAGTCTCGAAAAATGATTGGGGGAATTTCAGAAAAGAGAATGTAGTAGAGACTTTTTGACATTCCGAGTTAAATAGGCATGCGAGTGCAAAGGAATATGGTTCTCACCTAAAGTTGAAGGCAAATCACAAATGAACCAAGCTTAAATCTACTCCCACTTCTTTTCTAAGCCTATTCTATCTCCCCTGTAAAAGGAAAGATACCTACCTATTCTGAACCTGCTCCAGTCCAGTCACATGATTTTTCAGGCACTGGCTTCAATGAAGAAGAGAGATCACCGACAACAGCTGCAGAGTCTGGCCCATGACGTCACCCATAGGCTTACTATGGTGTATTCCTTGTCAGCTGTCCCACCTACAATAAAGCGGGCACTGGAACCCGATCGTGCAACCAGACCGGAGCAACTTCAAAATAGGTACGTATAGGCAACTTTCCTTTTACAGGGTGGAAAGAATAGGTTTAGAATGGGAGTAGATTTAAGCTTAGTTTGGTTTTGTTATGACTTCCACTTTAAGAAAGTAGTCACTAGATCAATAATGGTTAACTTGTACTGTATATCTGAGCAACATATTAAAAAAAACATATGCTGGTCAACTCTGCAATAATACAGAGTAATGTACACTATATTGCCAAAAGTCTTGGGATACCCCTTCAAATAATTGGATTCAGGTGTTCCAATCACCTCCATGGCCACATGTGTATAAAATCAAGCACCTAGGCACGCAGACTGCTTCTACAAACAATTGTAAAAGATTGGGTCGCTCTCAGCAACTCACTGAATTCAAGCATGGTACCGTGATAGGTTACCACCTGTGCAATAAATCCAACCGTGAAATTTCCTTGCTACTAAATATTCCATGATCAACACTTAGTGGTATTATAAAAAAGTGGAAGCAACTAGGAACAACAGCAACCCATGTAAACTGACAGGGGGTCAGCGTATGCTGAAGCACACAGTGCGCAGAAGTCGTCATCTGTCTGCAGAGTTAATAGCTAAAGACTGCCAAACTTCGTGTGGCCTTCAGAGTAGCACAGCAGTGTGTAAAGAGCTTCATTGAATGAGTTTCCAGGGCCGAGCAGCTGCATCCAAGCCTTACATCACCAAGTGCAATGAAAAATATTGGATGCAGTGGTGTAAAGCACACCGTCACTGGACTCTAAAGCAGTGGAGACGTGTTCTCTGGACTGACGAATCATGCTTCTTTGTCTGCCAAACCCATGGACGTGTCTGGGTTTGGCGGTTGCCAGGAGAACAGTACTTGCCTGTTTTTCAGGGGTTGGGCTTGGCCCCTTAGTTCCAGTGAAGGGAACTCTTAAGGCATCACCATACCAAGACACTTTGGATAATTTCAGGCTCCCAACTTTGTGGGAACAGTTTGGGGATGGCCCCTTCCAGTTCCAACATGACTGCACGCCAGTGCACAAAGCAAGGTTCATAAAGACATGGATGAGCGAGTTTGGGGCGGAGGAACTTGGCTGGCCTGCACCTCAACCCGATAGAACACCTTTGGGATGAATTAGAGCGAAGACTGCAAGCCTGACCTTCTCGTCCGACATCAGTGCCTGACCTCACAAATGCGCTTTGTGGAAGAATGGTCAAACATTCCCATAGACACACTCCTAAACCTTGTGGACAGCCTTCTCAGAAGAGCTGAAGCTGTTATAGCTGCAAAGGGTGGGCAAACTCAATATTGAACCCTACGGACTAAGACTGGGATGCCAATAAAGTTCATGTGTGTGTAAAGGCAGGAGTCCCGATACTTTGGGCAATATAGTGTATTTAACACTCTATGAAATTTTTATTTTTTACATTACAAATTCTATTTTTACATAAAACATTTTTTTTTAAAAAGACCAACAATTTTGAAAAAAAAAAAAAAAAAAAAAAAAACGTTTTCCCTAACTTTCTGTTACATCAAAATAAAATGCTAGAATGTAGAGTAAATGATACAGAAAATATTTTTCTAACTCCTTAAAAAAAAAAGAGTTGTACTGATGAATACTGATGAAACAAACATACTCATTGGCAGTGCTGTCTTCACCATCCTGATAGTCTTGCACTCTGTCCTCAAACTTGGATCGAAGGATTCGGTTGTGCACTCTGACTATTCTGTTTATTTTCACTCCAGAGATTCCATAGGTTTTAAAATTTGAGGCACAGAAACGGGATAAAATCAGGTCATAACAGGATTTGAACCTGGTAGATGCAGAAAATAATGTTACTGAGCAGGAAACAGAACAATCTGAATACAAAATAAGTCAATAAATGTCATATACTCTAGGCAGGGGTGTCAAACTGGCAGCCCTCCAGCTGTTGCCAAACTACTGGTCCCATGCGGAATTGTAAGGCTGACAATTACAAGCATGAGTCCCAAAGGTAGAGGAATGAAGGGACTTTTTGAAGCAGCTGGAAGGCTGCCAGTTTGACACCCCTGACTCTAGGCGAACCACTATCACCAGTCCATTGTAAATGACTCCATTTCTTGCTACCTGCCATTTGTACTTCCTCTGTAATCTCCTACCCAAAGTTCAAATGTAGTACACACAGGGTCAATATTGATGACTAACTACTTCTGAACAAAGATGAAATGTTTTCTTTTCTTTATTGTCAACTTTTATCCATGTACTTTGTACACTGAGCTAAGTAATGGATGAATATTCACTTGGTTTTGTAACACTTGTAATCAACTGCTTAGATTTTTTTTAAGGGTGAACAAAATGAGTTGCAGCTATCTTTTAGAAAGAAATTCCATTTTCCTTAAAGCATAAAAAAAAATCCCCCCCACCAGGCAGTGAAAAAAAAAAATAAAAAAACTTTACTTTCTGCCCCTCACAGTTTTCTTCACCACAAAATGCCCTTAATCTTCCAGATTTCATGATGTCCAGTGTCGCTCAATCCAGTTGAAAAAGGAAAGGCTGTACAGGATGCACCTACGGTATATTAACCATCTGTGGTGAAACTCGAAAAATTATAATATCGTGCAAAAGTTCATTTATTTCAGTAATGCAACTTAAAAGGTGAAACTAATATATGAGATAGACTCATTACATGCAAAGCAAGATAGCTCAAGCCGTGATTTGTCATAATTGTGATGATTATGACTTATAGCTCATGAAAACCCCAAATCCACAATCTCAGAAAATTAGAATATTATATTCAATCAATAAAACAAGGGTTGTACATAGAACAATATCGGACCTCTGAAAAGTATTAGCATGCATTTGTACTCAGTACTTGGTTTGGGCCCCTTTTGCAGCAATTACTGCCTCAATGCGGCGTGGCATGGAAGCTATCGGCCTGTGGCACTGCTGAGGTGTTATGGAAGACCAGGATGCTTCAATAGCGGCCTTCAGCTCTTCTGCATTGTTCAGTCTCATGTCTCTCATCTTTCTCTTGGCAATGCCCCATAGATTCTCTATGGGGTTCAGGTCAGGCGAGTTTGCTGGCCAATCAAGTAGAGTAATTCCACGGTCATTGAACCAGGTTTTGGTGCTTTCGGCAGTGTGAGCAGGTGCCAAGTCCTGCTGGAAAATGAAGTCAGCATCCCCATAAAGCTCGTCTGTGGAAGGAAGCATGAGGTGCTCCAAAATCTCCTGGTAGACGGCTGCGTTGACCCTGGACTTAATGAAGCACAGTGGACCAACACCAGCAGATGACATGGCTCCCCAAATCAACACAGACTGTGGAAACTTCACACTGGACTTCAAGCATCTTGCAGTGTGTGCCTCTCCATTCTTCTTCCATACTCTGGGTTGTTGGTTTCCAAATGAGATGCAAAAGTTGCGCTCATCAGAAAAGAGGACTTTGGACCACTGAGCAAAAGACCAGGTCTGTTTTTCTTTACCCAGGTAAGACACTTCTGACATTGTTTGTTGTTCAGGAGCAGCTTGACAAGAGGAATACAACATTTGAAGCCCATGTCCAGGATCCGTCTGTGTGTGGTGGCTCTTGATGCACTGACTCCAGCCTCAGTCCACTCCTTGTGAAAGTCCCCAACACTTTTGAATGGCCTTTTCCTGACAATCCTCTCCAGGCTGCGGTCATCCCTGCTGCTTGTGCACCTTTTTCTTCCACACTTTTCCCTTCCACATAACTTTCAATTAATGTGCTTTGATACAGCACTTTGGGAACATCCAACTTCTTTTGCAATTACCTTTTGAGGCTTTCCCTCCTTATGGAGGGTGTCAAAGATGGTTTTCTGCACAACTGTCAGGTCAGCAGTCTTTCCCATGATTACGATTCCTACTGAACCAGACTGAGAGACCATTAAAGGCTCAGGAACCCTTTGCAGGTGTTATGGCTTAATTAGCTGATTAGAGTGGAATACTTTGAGCCAGTGTCATTAGTACAGCGACAGTGTAATTAGCACTGATCACTGTATAAGTGTCACTACTGATGTCAGTGTGGTTAATACAGAAAGCAGGGCTTATGTCATCACATCAGTGCTGCTCTCTGTATCATCCCATTCCACCAACCCCCTGCATAAGGCTGAAGAGGAGGAGGACCCAGCACATCACAGTAAATAGCTTCAAACATGCTTGGGACAAGCATAGATCTATACTCAGACAAAAACATTGACGTAAAAAAAAAAACAAAACAAAAAAACGAAACGTATTAACTGGCAGAGATTTCTGCATCCACATCGATCAATGTGTTCAGCCCAAACGAAAAAAAAAAAAAAAAAACCATTTAATGTGTGCCCACCATTAGAAGTGGGTGGATGCAGGGTGGTATATTCTAATGGTGGGCATACCACATATTTTTTCTGGCAGAGATTTCTTCTTTTTTTTCCATTCAGCCCACAGGCTGCATTAAAAAAAAAACAAAAAAAAGTAGCATATATACCCAACAAGGACCAGCGACGTACTGGTACATCACTGAACTTTGAGTGGTTATACCAGGATGATACCTGGAGCTGCAGGCATCATTCTGGTATTGTTTATTTCAGCCAGCGATCAGCTTTCATGTAAAAGCAAACCTAGTGGCTAATTAGCTGCAGGATTGCTTTTACAAGCAGCAAGAGAAGAGGCCCCCCGCTACCTTCCACGGCTTTCTCAGGCAGTTCTGCGCCATCGGGGGAACCTGAGAATGCAGTCAGTGTTTCTGCCAGCTGACCATAGGCCTGATTGGAGACCAGAATGGCGCCAATCATCTCTGTAGTCTAGGAACTCAGAAGCTACAAGCATTTCATCACTTCAGTTTCGCAGGATAAAAACAATTTTTATAAATTGGAAAAGCATTTGATCACACTGATCTTGGTGAGTTCAGATGATGTAAAGCAGAGGAGATATCTAGAGTCTAATAGACCCCAGATTTCTCAAAAAAAGAATACCTGTCAATGCCTATTGCAGTTACAGGGGATATTTACATTCCCTGTGATAACAATAAAAGTGATAAAAAAAAAAAGAAAGGAACAGTGTAAAAAATAATAATAAAAAAAGCACCCTCGGTCCCCCGTGAGCGCAACTGCGTGCGCAAGCTTTGACCCCATGTTGGTATGTGAACAGGGCAGTGATTATAGCACTAGACCTCCTGTGTAAATCTAAAATTGTAGCCTATAAAGGCTCTTAAAGCATCGTCTATGGATATTAAAAATGTATGCAGTTTGTTGCCATTGCATGGGGCGTGCGCAGTTTTAAAGCATGTCATGTTTGGTATCTATTTACTTGGCATACCATCATCTTTTATATTTTACTAAATAATTGACCAATATATTGTGTTTTTATGCATTAAAAGTAAAAAAAGTGTATTTTTTTCAAAATATTTGTGTTTGAGTACTATGTGACATAAAAGGCTTGGTCTTCAGGTGGTTAGAAGAATGAGTGATATGTGGTATAAACTTTTAATGCTGGGAAAGTAGACACCCCAAACTATTTGCCAAGAGGCATGTTGAGTCAATAGAAGAATTTATTTTTTTTTAACCATAAAAATTTTTATTTTTAAGTTTTTGGAAATATATTTTTTTCTTTTTTTAAACAAAGTTGTCACTTAAATAATATATTGCTCACACATGCCATGGGTATATGTGGATTTAATTTTGGGGTGTAATTCCAAATATACTCATGGCATGTGTGGGCAATATACCATTTGAATGACAACTTTATGTAAAAAAAAAAAGAAAAAAAAGAAATGTGATAGGCAGTCAGAAAGTAAAAGCTGTGTAAATTTCAGTATCTATACCATAGTTTTTAGACGCTAATCTTCACACACCCAATTAATATGCATTTATTGGGATTTACCAAAGACATGTAGAAAAATAAATTTTGGCCTAAATTTATGATGAAATTTTAGTTTATTTGATAATTTTTATGACAGAAATGAGAAAATATTGTTTTTTTTCAATATTTTTGGTCTTTTTTTGTTTATAGAGTAAAAAAGAAAAAAACACCCAGAGGTGATCAAATACCACCAAAAGAAAGCTCTATTTGTGTGAAAAAAAATAAGTTTCAATTATTACAGTACTGCATGACCACGCAATTGTCAGTTAAACTAGCGCAGAACCGTATAGCAAAAAATGGCATAAATTCCAATATCTATTCCATCGTTTGTGGACGCTATAACTTTCACACAAACCAATTAATATACAGTTATTGGGATTTGTTTTACCATAGACATGTAGCAAAATACATTTTTGGCCTAAATGTATGATGAAATTTGAGTTTATTGGATATTTTATATGACAGAAATGAGAAAATAGTTTTTTTTTTTTCTGTCTTTTTTTGTTTATAGCGCAAAAAATAAAAACCCCAGAGGTGATCAAATACCACCAAAAGAAAACTCTATTTATGTGAAAAAAGAACATACATTTCATTTATGTACAATATTGCATGACCACACAATTGTCAGTTAACCACTTGCCCTCCAGAGCATTTACCCCACTTCCTGACCAGGCCATTTTTTGCGATACTTTAACTGACAATTGCGCAGTCATACAACGCTGCACCCAAAGAGCCCAGAGACTCTCATTAAATAAAGAGATTACTATAAGCTATTTTCATGTTTTGTTTATTTGTCAGCTTATAATAACAAATGAGCAGTATTGATACGTACAGAATGAAAAAATTTGTTTTGTCTCAGATCAATTGGTTAAGTAACTAATTTTGTTTCATTGCATTCGTAAAGAAATTTGTATAGTTTTTTCTTTTTATTAGTTTTCAAGAGTTGCAGCCCAAACAAGAAAACAAGTGGTCTAGTGC